TCACACAAACGGCTATAATTCGTAAATTAAATTCCCTTAATCTTCGCTGTATTTCGTGTGCATTTAGTGGTATTGCTGCGAGTCAAAGCAATGCATAATAACACAATAGATTGTGAAGTACTCACTGGAGTTGCTCGCGGAAAACGTGTTTTGATTCCACGCATACACTTGACGTATTCAGGGACTGCACTGCCATTTAATTTTCAAAGAACACAGTTTCCACAGTCATCAGCGCATTTGCTATGACAATTAACAAATCCCAAGGACAGACATTTGATAGAGTTGGAATATTGTTGAGGAGACCTGTTTTTTCGCATGGTCAACTTTACGTTGCAGCCAGTTGAGTTAGATCATTTGACGGACTTAAATTTTAAGTCAGTAATGAAGGTGGACAAGGTCATTTGGCTAATGATGAAAGGGTTTTTACAAAAAATATTGTTTACACTGAAGTTTTGAGAACTTCGTGATATAAAATATAGAATTATTATTATGCATTATTATCATTTTAGATTTCATTCAGTTTGAATGTTTTTCAATATTAAATTTTTTTCATTCGTTCATTTGCCAATTTCATTTCTTTGTTTCTTGCCTTCACTGCATACCGCGATTTGATTTCGTGATGGCAGAGTATAGGAATTTGTTTGATAATTAACACGGGAGCGAGATGTTGTGCAAAGTCGCATTGTCGAAATTATGCAATAAATTGACGCAATAAATTGCGTCAGAATTTCGAATTTCTTTAGAAGAAGGTGCTGTTCTACAAAATTGCTGATTCCTATACTGATAACTTTCCGATATCACCTGAAGAACAAATGTACGGAGCAGATGTTAAGATAATTTATTTGTTGAAAAGATTTCAAAATGGAGCATCAGTTCGAAATTTTATCGGTATTTCATTCAAACAATTCATCATATTTCATATTTTATACTAATTATTTTCTTTTTTCGCAGGTGCATATGTGGTCACATATGACGACAAATTTAAATTAAACGATTTGATTGGATTGATAATACAAGGAAGAATTAAGCCAAAACCAGAAACACAACAAATAATTTTGCACGAGATGAAATTATAAATTTTAATTTATTTTTTAAATTGTTTTCTACAACTTTCTTTAGATTTTGTTCATATTTTAATCAAATTCATCAATAAAATTTAAATACTATTAAAATAAATAAATTGTATTTTCTATTGGTCGAATTTCGACCACTGGCGACCCTAGTATTAATAATTTTATTACTTTTAACTATTTGCATACTATTGACACCATGGCTAAAAGTCGTCAAGCAAATAAGAAGGCTTTACAATCTAAGAAGATTAGAGCAATACGTCGACGTAAAATTACAAGACGTAACCGAAGAACCGTTAGAACGGCGCCGGTTGATTATCTCGTAAAAGGAGCCCGCACTCTGTTTGGATTACTTCCAGGACAGGCTGTTTTAAAGCCCATCTCGGATTTTATCTTTGGAAAAGCATCAGTTTCATTTTCAACCTATGCGGAACTATATCATGGATCTCCAAGTTAGCATCTTGGTCTGCAAGTTAGCATCTTGTTAATTCCTGCTAGCGTCATCGCCGACTCACTTTCTAATGTTACTATTAACGGAGGGAAAATTTGGTACACTAATTTTACCAAAGGCTGTGTGCATAATGTAAATGCCACGCTCATATCCACTTGTCCGGTTGGAAAGAAAAGTGATATGTGGGGAGTTTGTTTTCAACCTTTAGACGCGGTAAAAACAGATTATATGACGTACCGTGATATCTCTGAGTCTCCATTTTCTAAAATTGGACCCGTTACACGTCTATTAAGTCTGCAATTTACACCAATTCCTAGAACACCTACGTGTTATGGAATGATTGGATTGTCTGATAACTTGTAGCGTTTGAAGATTCACAAGACAGATCAGATTATACATCTGAAGATTTCGGATGTAATATTCAAGTTGGTGGTAGCGGATAACTCTGTTGCCGTATTGACGAAGTAAAGCAATATGACCGAGTTGTAACGTATAAGAATAATAATGTTATCATCACTGCTCAGTTTTTCGTTTAACAAGCGAAGTGTTCAGACGTATTTCAGCGCGTAATTCATTTGATTACTCCAAAATGAGTGACACCAGCGATGGTGAACGTCTTACGAGACAATTTAAAAATCTCGTTGATAAAGTCAAAATAAAACAAAACATTCTGAATTCGGATATGTTTCAAAAGTTCTGCTATAACTTGAGAAGTTTGCATATGGATCCTGAACTATGTATTCAACTCTTAAAAACTGACTGCCAGACAGAGTCTTTTAAAACATTACTTTGTATTCCTAAAGGAACTATAATCGAAATTAATGGAACAGGCAAAAATACTCTCAAATATATTTTTACATATAAAAAAATGTCAACTGTTACAATTGAAATTATTGTTTCAGAAAAAAATTTTGCTTTTGTACAATAAAACATACATAACTTCTCATAACATAGATCTAAATTCTAACGGAAAAGAAGTTGAAAGCGAAAACAAAACACAACAGCAGGTAGCAAACAGTCACTCCACTAACACTCATTTGTTAGAAGAGAAAGTTCAAAAGCTTATTGAAGAGATTCAAAAACTGAATGCCTTACTTTTTGAGCAAGTTGAAGAAAACAAAAAATTGAAGAAACAAATTATTGAAATGGAAACTAAAGCAAAACAAACAACTAAAAATCAGTTAAAGAGACGCAAAATAATTACTGCTTCAAACTCACAAAGTAAGAGAGAATTTGCTCACAAAGATAACATAAGCTCAGATGAAGAGACTGTTGATGAAATTTTGTGTGAAATGGAAGAAGAAACTCTCTTAAATAACTCGTTACAAATTACAACAACTGAAGTGTCAAACATCATAAAGAATCAAGAAAACAAACAAATAACTACAACAAAAATGAAACGTGATAAAAAAATACCACCGATAGTGGTATATGATAATGATCAGAAAAGAATGAATGAAAAAATAATCAACCAAAACATCTGCAAAAAAAATGAATATTATTTTGTTAGAGTTAACAAAAATAAATATAGAATATTCGTAAATACAATTCAGCAATATGATGCGTTATTATCATTACTTAAATTAAATGGTATTAAATACCACACTTACACACCTAATGAACGGAAAATTATCCATATTCTTTTTAAAAATGTTCCTATGTGCTACAACGAAAATGAAATAACTGAATTTTTGAAATATGATTATGGCCTTAATCCAATTCGGCTAACTAAATTTCAAACCAAATATATGATGGAAAATAATATAACTTCTTTGAGCCTAACACGGACAAGAAAAGAATATTCGAAGTCAAATCAATTGGTAACCAATACGGCGTTATTGCTGAAGAATTTAAAAGTAACGGTGTAAGCCAATGCCTCAGTTGTTGGCGTCTGGAACATACTAGCTCAAATTGCACATACAATCCTCGTTGTGTCAAATGCATATTTAATCATGAAATCGGAAAATGTCAACTAGATACAAACACGGCACTAAAAGCTAGTTGTGTAAATTGCAGAATGAATACGCACATGGCGAACTCTAAGGAATGTCCAGTATATAAACGAATCATTGAACGCAGAAACAAAAAATCTGAAAGAGTAAACACTAATGAATATAGAATTTCAACAAGCGCAAATGGATTAAACGGCCAACAAAGTTATGCACAAATAACTCGAATAAATCAAAACAATATCATGGCAAATTCCGAATTAAAACAGTTCATTAGCAACTTAATTATCCAAACTGTTAATAACGTAATAACCAAAATTGCACCACAGCTGATCCCGTTAAATATTACAAATGAATTTTAATAAAAATCTAAAATGTATTGAGCTGAATGTTAACTCACTTAAAAGCAAATATAAACAACATTGCCTTATGGAATTTCTAGATGAACACAAACCTGACGTTGTATTTCTAGTGGAAACTAAATTAAATAAAAATAAAAAATTAACAATCTCTAACTATAACATTATAAGAAATGATCGCGAAATTAATGATGGTGGAGGTACAGCCATATTATTAAATAAGAAATTTAAATATGAACTACATACCACAAATTTTAATTCGGTATGTTTTGAATATACATCAGTAAAATTACATCTAGAAAATCAAAGTCGCATTTTTTTGACATCGATATATAAACCTCCGGATAAGCATATAAACCTTAATGATCACAACTTACTTATAGATTCATTTAAAAAATCTCAGTTTATTATTGGCGGTGATCTTAACTGTATTCACTCTTTTTGGGGAAATACAAATAACAAACCAGAAGGCAATAAATTACATAAATGGTTGGTTGATAACATAGACAAATATAAAATAGTATCTCCACAATCAAATGAACCCACATGCATCAGATCTAACTCAGAATCATTCATTGATTTATTTTTAATCGAAGATGGGCTCAAAATAAATTTTGAATCGGCAACGCAAAAGCTTCAAACCTTGGACTTTGATTCAGATCACAGAGCAATAATTCTTGAAATTACTTTGACTAACAAAATAATTTACAATGATGTCTCAAAAATATACAACTGGAGCAAAGCTAAATTTAAAAATATTCAAAAACTAATAGATAAACGCTTAGATGAACTTTATTTGCCAATTTCTAATAATTTAGAAAATGACCAAATTGATAAAGCTGTTTACAAAATCAATGAAATTTTTGAACAAGCAATAAACCTACATGCACCAACAATTACAATAAATAATTCAACTTTAATTACATTATCTGAAAAATCACTAAAACTTCTTAAAACAAAAAAAACTGTAAGACGCCAATTATTTCGAAATAAAAACTCACCAAATTCAGACTACCTCAAAACACAGTTAAAACTTATATCTAATATGACGTTTAATTCAATAATCAACGATTACAATATTTACTGGGAAAATAAATTCAAAAATCTTAAACTTGATAACAATGTTTTTAAAAATTTTAAACAAATTTCAAACTATAAAAAACGATTAACTATGCCGAAAACACTCGTAGTAAACAACAGTAATGGATCAACTGTTTCATCAGATACAGACAAAGCTAACGCTTTTGCTAGTAATTTTGAAAAATCGCACTTAATCACAATAAATATGGGATATCCTGTTTTCGATGAAATGGTAAACCAATTTGTCAACAACAACTTTAGCAACGAATGTATCATAAATTTTGCAACAACAGATCAAAATGAAGCAGGAAACTTTCATACTTTCCCCGACTCCCCTTTCATCAAGGTATCGGATGTTACTTATGCAATTAAATCTAGAAATAACAAAAAATCATCAGGTAATGATAAGGTCTCAAATTTTCTATTAAAAAAAATAGCTAAAAGTGAAAAATTTTGTAAAACCATTACTTCTTTCTTTAATCATATTATAAATAACTGTTACATGCCTAAAGTTTGGAAAGAAGCAACATTGCTACCAATCCCTAAACCATTAAAAGATGAAAAAATTATCAGCAATTACAGACCAATCAGCAAAATTTCATCTTTAGCGAAAGTGTTTGAGAAAATAAAATATTTAAAAATAGAAAAAGAAGCTGAAGAATTAGAAATAAATCTAAATAATCAATTTGGATTTAGGCGTGGACGCACAACAACTCATGCACTTTTTAAAGTAGCGGATGAAATCGCTATAAATTTAAATAATAATACACCTACTCATCTTATTACCCTAGATTTTGAAAAAGCTTATGACACCTTATGGATAAACGGTTTTATATATAAATTACACTCAATGGGGTTCAAAGACATCACTTGCAAATTTCTTTTAAATTACTTAAGCAACAGAACATATAAAGTAGAAGTTAATAATACATTTTCGAATCTGTACATAGCAAAAGCTGGCACTCCTCAAGGGTCTGTATTGTCTTGTCTAATATTTATTCTATATGTTGCTGATTTCCCTATTCATCAAGGTTCACTTGACATTAAAGTTACACAGTTCGCTGATGATGTTTTAATTAGAACACACACACAAATTACCTCCCTTGCTCAAATTGAATTGAATGAGTATCTTGAAAAAATACTTAAATATACCAACAAATGGAAAATAAAGATAAATACAAATAAATCGGAAGAAATAGCGATAGTAGGAAATATATTCCAAACCAAACGTAGAGTACGGAAAAATTGCTTTAATATAGAATTAGTCTTTAACAATGAATTAATACCTAAAATCGCACACCTAAAATATTTAGGCGTTTATTTTACTAAAAACTTTAAATTTAACTTTCATTTGCAATATATCAAAGCAAAAATGCTTGCAGCATATTTTGTACTAAAAAATATCTTTTTTAACCGGAAAATAAATGAAAAGATAAAACTTTTAGCTTATAAACAAATCATAAAACCAATAGCCATGTACGCATGTCCCATTTGGTTACAAGTATCCAAAGCGCAAATAGAATTGATAAGTAAATTAGAAAGAAAAATTCTAAGATCATGTTCAGGATTGTTTCGTAGACCTAACAGTGTTAAATATTATCGAAATGAACATTTATATGAAAAATGTAAAATTAATCCTATTCAAAATGATTTTATCAAATTCGCTCTTAAGTTCATAGACAAAGTAAACAACGAAAATCAAATAACTATTCATTATAATGATAACGATATGATAAACATAGACTACTACAAAAGTAAGCCTCCATCTTATTTACACTATCTTTCGAAGAGGAATGAACTTTTTGTAAATGAAAAGACTACTTATTACGAAAGTCTACAAACGATACGAAATCATCGTATCGCTAATCAACAAATAAGTTTAAACTGAATGTAATATTTATTTTCTGTATAATTTCTTTATTTATTTTTTAGTTTTAGCTTAATTTTAGTCTTAGTCGTGTAAGGAAAATACAAAAGTTAAGTCAAACAAAACATACTTAATATAATTAAAACGAGAAATCGAAAACCTATCATATTTAAGTACTTTGACAAATCTGTTAAGGATGTAAAGTTAAGTGTTACTGTAAATACAAGTTTGTGTCTTTGTTCTTGTATATAAGAAATGTAAATCTATAAATAAAGGCTCACTTATTATTATTATTATTA